GGGCGTCAGGTGGAGTTGGCCGGAGGGAGAGCTTCAAGAGGAAAAGCGGCTTTTCTGAAGCTTCCCTGGCCCGTCACGTTCCTGGGAAACGCACTCTGAGGAGCACCCGCCCTTACAAAGCCGGGCTCCGGGTTTTTAGCCGCCCTCTTCCCTCACCCGGGGCAGGGGGGTGTCCACGGCGGCTAACGCGAGCCCGCGCCTTCTGCGAGAGCCGCCTGTACGCCCCTCCCAGCTCTCGCTTCACTGCGCCTCCTCCGGAGTAAGTCGGTAATAAAAATCTCTGCTCCAGGCACAAGTAAAAAAAAAAAAAACCCAAACAACTGGATGTCTAGAAAATGTGACAGAAAAAGCTCGAACTGGAATAACACCCTCAGATCAGTATCTTTAGAATATAAGGAAAGACTCAGCAGCTGCGCTGAAAAGAAAGGGGAAACGTTAATCTTCAATTTTTACAAAGTCTACAGAAAGGCACGCAGCTTGCAGGGAAAAAAGTGCAAGTTGATGGTGCCCTGATTTCAAAATGGCTCATTACAGCAATTGGCGTGAGCGTACGCGAGGAGCGAAACCCAAGGATCGGTCCGCAGCTGCGAGCTCACTCACGCTCCAAGGAAACCATCTGCAAACAGCTCATCTGAAACACACTGCCCAACCTTTTTTGTACCTGAACAATTTAGTCAGAAAACATTCGTTGGGGAAGAAATGAGTAAACTCCTGCTTCATTTATAAAGGAGGATGACAAAGTTAACTATACGATTATTCCTTCCAGTTGTTCTTCCATCCGTTTTGGCCAGCGCAAAGGGACAAAGAGGTCACCTTGCAATGAGGCGCAACATTGTTTTATTACTTGCCGCCTATTTGAAGGATCATTACTTGATCCTATTTGAAGCAAAAAGGATTTCTCCCTTTCTGGATCACTCTTACCATAGCCGGTTCCAGCCCTAACTGCCCACTGGGTGGATCTGGCCACTGCTGTATTCTTGAAGGACTATGTGTTTAGTTCAGATTTTGTTATTTTGGGGACTAGCTCGTCCTTTGGTGTATTCATATTCCTTAAAAGAGATTTCAGACCTGTAAGACTATGACCTCTGTAACAAGTCAAACATCAAAGCAAAGATGTAGAAATCCAGAGCTTTTTAAGGACAAAAAAGTCTAATTGGTCTGACCCAGGAGTACTTTGAGCTGTTTTGGTACCCCATCTGCTTCACGTCTCCCACGTGCTGGTGGGAAAGGGGAGAGCAAGCAAGGGGGACCCGTGTGAGCTCTCCTTTAGCACTAGCATGTGTCAATAGCAACAGTCCCTGGTTGTTAGTTAAAAATATCATCTAAAGCAATAATGTGGAAGCATATCAAGTGCTGGTACCACCGATGCATTCTCGTTGGACAATCCTCCCTGTGGTTTCTTTGCAAAAATCTAAAACCTGGTTGTGGTGCGGCATAAGAGATACTACAGAAATTGCCATCAGTGTTGCTGCAACACAGTTAATATGTTGTTATTGTTGGAGAAAGGCAAATTTGTTGGGACCTCTGAAGATACGCAGCACCACTGCCTAACCTTTGTGTTAAACTATCAAAAAGTAAAACAAACCGAAAAAAGACAACCAAAAATTCTACTGAAAAACCTCTAAAGGAAACAGTCACCTGTTTGGTTTTTTTTTTCCTTTTTTTTTTTAAAGCATGTGGCCAAACATTCGCTTTGAGGACAAAGCAAAAAAAACCACTAATAGTACTTTATGCTTTATTATTTTGTGATCAATACAGCACTTTCACACCTAGCATTCCTTCCAAGGTGCTGTTCGATACCGGGCACAGGGCACATTCCACGCCGGGGAGCAGCTCTCTGCTGCTTTCACCTTGTTCAGGCATTGCTGTTGGACAAAGCTCCCTTCGTTCCTCTGGGCATTTCCACTCACCACCACCGGTACCTGCTGGTTCCTGCGTACACTGTCCCCAAAACGCAGCTGGGGCCCCGGACCCCACAGTTACCAGGGCTAAGATCAAGGCGTGGAGCTGCGGCTACAGGGAAGATCCCCAGACATGCAGACTGTAACCCCGGGGCTCCAGGATTAATATCCCCGCTCGCTCATAAAAAGCTCTGGTATCTGCTAGTGCCATAAGTGACACAGCCCTCCCTCTCTTGACTTTCTCAAAAACTGTACTGGATTAAAATTAACACTTTATTTCTATATAACACCTGAAAAACCACAGCAGAGAGGGACCATAGAAATAAGCATATTATGCAGCAAGTCAGAAGACTTAATGTTCATCATGTAAAGACCTGGCTGTTTAATGGTGTGGTCTTTCTCATACATCTTTAATTTTTTTTGTTGTTTTTTAATTTAGGTAGGGCAGATGTAGAGTTATGAGAATCACCGCTATCTTAAGTCTGAAATACACGATCTAATCTCATGGTGTGTGATCCAACCACGAACACGTAAAATGTCCTTTTGCTTCAATACTGCCTGCACACAGTTTTGTTTTCACATCAATTTAAAGACAATATTAAAAAATCCATTTTGTTTACCTAGTTAACAAGTACTCTTGCAATGCTCACTTAAGTCAGCATGCCATTTCACAGGCAATCCAAAGCTATTGCTGATAAATACAATACTATATAAAAACTTAATTTACTTTTCATATCATTGCTGTTGCCTCTTTTTAATACTTTCTTGCTCCTTTTCTATTCACCGTGTGAAGCGTCAGGCACCATTCCTCTGCTGAAATACAAACACTTCTAGCTATAACCAACACTCGGGTGAAAGCATGTTTTGTTCAGAAACGCTTGTCAAGCTATACAGACAGAATTGCCTTGACATCAATACGGTATCATCACATCAGGATAACACGATCTACACTTTGGGGATGACAAGTACAGCGTTAATGGCACCTAATTACAACAAAACTCTACTGAAACTATCTTGCCACCGCTCTGTCTGGCTTTATCTCTGCTTGCGGGTGCATCATGCCCTGCACAACACCAGTGCTGCCCACAGCACCCCCAGTTGTCACCTCTGCACACCTGAAGGCCAGGTGTGCAGAAAGGTCAATTTAATTCAGAAGTGAATTGTTAAGATAGTAAAACAACCTCCTTGTAGTTACCTCCATAAGTGACTTCACGTACCGTGTATGACGTCTTCCCGTACGTTAATTCCCTTCCAATGCATCTCTGATGCCCAGCTCCCAGCTTTGCATCCACTGTGCTGAGCTAAAGCCGATCACGGAAGGTCTTGGTCCAGCTCTGCCTTTGTAGGTAATCTCATACCACCTCTGCTCACCGTAGCATCTTGTAAGTGCCTGCGGACCCACACCTGCAGGGACATGCTGATTTACTGGCTCCCAATAGGAAGACAACACTCTAATCCTCCTCACTTCGGCGTGATTAAAAGGACATCAGCCTTTCCGTGATGTTTTTCCACCGGGCTCCCTCTATTAGATGCTTTTTTTCCAGGGGGGTTGTGCCAAAGGGCCTCTGGCTGCAGCTGCACTTATGCCAGATTTCTTGTGAGAAAGTGCCATCCCGTGGCTAAGTGTGAAATCCTTGCCGCTTCGTGTCTCAAAACTAACGTCAGGCAAAGCCACCCCAGACGACTATAATCCGTGATATATAGCACAGACGTGCTGCAATAAGGCTAATTGCCAACCTCCCACCCTCGCTCATCCCCAGCATGGCATTTCAGCAGCAAATCTGAATTACAACAGTCCAACTCCCCCATCTTCATTAGTTTCTGGCTTTCTTGTAGTTTTACATGGACACTTAGTTTTTATTACCTGTTTCTTATTATTCTTTAGGGGACAACTATTGTTATTTTTCACTGTTAGTAAGGTTTGGCTTAATCACAGGGTTTGGAAGTTGAAGACGACATTAAAATAAACAAACCAAAACTAATCACCACCTTACTGTATGGACAGTTTCACAGACTTTCATCTCAAACTGCTGCTGAAAGGACTCTTGACATGACCGTGGGCAGGAGTGTCGTGCCTCAAGCCTCTAATGCAGGAAAATAACAGAGAGGTTTCTGGTACACTGGCCCAGATACTTGAAGTTAGACAACTAGAGAGGTTTTTGTCTTCCCAACTTAAGCCAATGTAAGTCCTAAGCATTAGTGGAAATCAAGCACATTTAGGCATTATTATCCACAAAAACAGAGAAATGGAAACCACTACCTTCATTTTTTATTTAATACAAATTAAATTTTAAGCTGCTCTCCAGCTGGGTGGCCGCAGCACCTCCTGGTGCCTGGGGCTGCTCCTCCCCAAGGGCAGGACTTGGCACTTCCCCTCGCTGGACTTCACGAGGTCCCTCTCAGCCCATTTCTCCAGCCCACCCAGGCCCCTCTGGCCGGCAGCACGACCCTCTGGTGTATCAGCCACTACTCCCAGGTTAGTGTCATTCCAACCTGCTGAGGGTGCACCCTGCCCCATCATCCACGTCATTAATGAAGATGTTAAACAAAATCAGATCTAGTATTGACCCTTGGGCTACGCTACTAGTTACTGGCCTCCAACTAGACTTTGTGCAACTGATCGCCACCCTCTGGGCTCAGCTGCTCAGCCAGTTTTCAGTCCACACTTCTTCAGCTTATAAACTCTAATCAATCCACATAAACTCTAATAAGATTTTTTCATTATTATTCACACACAGTTGAGCCATATGAGCGTCAAACAGTGCTGTGTCTGTAGTAACAGCAGATCTAGCAAGATAAATCCAGGAGAGAACTCAGTCCATTCACTGCCTTGAGAAATAGCTGAATACCAATAATATCTCTTAGAAAAACTTACAGTGGAGATGTCTTTTATACTTAGAAGCCAGCAGGATCTTGACATGGCAGACTCAGCTGGACACCTGAATTCCCAGATACTGGTTGGTTGTTGGACTACGGGATTACCTCAGATAAATGTATTAAGCCCAAGTTCAGGAGCAGCTGTTTTCTCCTCCTCAGTAAAAGAGTCTATAGGTAGGCCTTTAATTTTCCTTAACCAGGCCTTCTTGCATGCTCTTTGCTGGTCTTCTGTGAGCTTTGTCTGGTGTGCCCGATACTGAGCTACAGTAGCTGCCTCATACACCTCCTTCTGTTTTCCTGTCAGAAGCCTGAACCCACTGTCACTCCGGGAAGGGTCTGCAGCATACAGACAAAAGGGCTTTTTTCTCCTAGAAACAGCTTCATTCTTCATTTGTGCAATCATCACTTGTGTTGATTTGATCAGTTCAGAAGAAGCTGTAAAGGGATTGATAAGCTGAACCCCATCTTTGGTGAGAGGAATAGCTTTATCACGACCACTGTGAGCTTTCTTTTCTCGCAGCAAACCACAAGTCTTGGGACATACAACAGAGGGAGCAGGGATGGAGGAATTCACAGTGGGGCCATGCAAAGAGTTTTTCAGCTTGAGCTGCAGCATTTTGGTTTCAAAAGGTATAGAAATTCTTTTCATAGTCAGAGAATCACTGCGCAATCTCACACGTTGGAGCTGGAGTGCCTGATCCTTTTTGTGTTGCAGAGGGGTTTTGTATATTTGTACCTTTTCAGGGCGGTATTGCTGACGTTCCCATGCTTCCCTGACTTTTGCAGTGTGCTTAATACTGGAGCTGACTGGGGCCGACTTGCAGGCGTTTTGCAGCATGTTGACCGTTAAGAAGAACTTGTCAGGGGACATTGGACAACTTGGGCCTCTTCCTTTTTCATGCTGCAAAGTGGCTTCTGCCCTGTCAGGATGTGCAGGTACATAGAGAGAAGGGCCATGTTCAGATTTGCCATCTGTTTCCAAAAATAAAACAACACATTTGAGTTGAGGATAGTTTTTGTGATCGTCGTTGGCAGGGTAGTACTCTGAGTAAGACAAGGGATGGGTGCTGGACTGGCAGGCATATGAACAGTCCCAGTTAATCCACAGAGCAGGCAGCATAGGAAGCTACAAGCCAATGGTGCCCATTTCAGTTTGCTCATCCTTGGCCTCACTAGTGACGCTGCCAACATCAGTATTAATTCTGTCTCAGTTAACTGAGGACTGTTCCTTGCCATAGCCTATATGGGTCAAACTAAAGTCAGATTCTGTAACATACGTTGTATTTGTGTGTGGAATCCACCTTGTTTCAAACTATGGTTTCTAAAAGGAATGAGGTTCCCCACCACTCTTCCCATGCACCCCCTTTCTTGTCCTACTGCTTGTGCTTTGGGAAAAGGCTTCAAGACAGGCCCGTTCCCGGTAGAAATCTTGGAAGTAGCCAACATCTGAGAACCACTTTGAACCATTACTACTCAGAGCTGCATTTGCATTGGAAATCTCAAGACATGCTTCATAGCCTAGCTTTGCTGCCTCAGGGGATGTAAGGAGTGACCTGTGCTGTATGGCAGACACATCAAGATGGATTGTGTGATTATGGCCTTGACTAAGAACTAGATGGGGATTATGACACAGTTTGCATAAGTCCCATGGCCTTGCCATAGCGATTCACTTGTCACTTTGTTTTGCAATGTAATGCTGTTCACGTATCATTGCTTTGCAACACAATTCCGATTTTCCAGACTGGTTAACTGAAACTTCTGCCCTCTAGAAATGTATTTCAGAGAACATTAAGTTACAGTGCAGAAAGCAGGAAGGCAGAATACAGCAAAACAAACTAATGAAGATTACTGCTTGTTCCTCATTCACAGAATTTAGGACTTTAATCTGCACATACACATGACCCAGCATCTTAGTTACAAACACTAGGAGTTTGGGGTTAGAGACTTGGAATTGGTACAGCTCTTCTGAAGTAAGATGTCAGAGCAAGTCTTAAACTTTAAGATCCCAACAGATTCTGAATATAAATTCTGAGAAAAACTAACTTAAGGAGACAAATACCATATGGCTATAGACTATGTTTCTGATCTCAGTACTATCTCATTTTCAACTTTCAGGTTGCCACATCTTTCCTGGCTGAGACAATTTACATAATTTTTTTTAAACAATTTTTCGAGTTACTGCTATTGATTACATACCAACTACTTGAATAAATTTTATGCAGAATTCTCCTGCACCTGATAAAGAAATCAAAAATAGAACAAGGATACAATAAAAAAACCTAGATACCAGAGAACTAAGCCTTATAGCTAGAGCTGAGCACTTGTCCTGTTTATTTCATTGATCTAAAGCAGTTTCTGTAACCATCACAGGCTCTGCAAGTGATCTGTTTTACCGCTGCAAACCTTTCATCCAGAATGGGCCTGGCTTCTAGACATCCTTACCTTTTGTTTAATCCATTCATTTATCTTAGATGCACTTGTTTGAAGAATTACTGTCCTACCTAGCTGCAAAGAGTCCTTACCAGTATCTGCTGGGATTCCTGCAGAACGTGCTCTCGCTGACTTTTCTGAGGCAAAGGCATGGGGTTGTTTGGTTCCGGGAATGAAAAGCTTTTTCTGCTGCTCTGCCTGAATACGAAAAGTCTTTTCAATCTTGAGAAAATGCTGCTGTTGCTGGCAAGCTGCTGATTTCATCAGTTCATAGCCAAGAGCTAGAAAACAGAAGAAAAAGTAATCTCTAAGCTTCACTGGTGTTAAACTTATTTTTTTATTAAATAAAATCTTCATAACTGATGGGATTTCAAGCCTTGGGTTACTGTTTTGCCTCTTATTCACAGCTTCTAAAGGTCTAGGTATTAGAAATAATCCAAAGATATTTGCTTAGCAGAAAACCTCACAGAATTCAAAGATAACAGCAAATGTTGATTTTTTAAAATATTAAGTATGTATAAACAACCCATCCTTTTTTTGCCACTAAAATTAAAATATATTGCACTCCCTGTTTGTTTCCTGTTTCTACAAACTGTACGTCTTTTACCAAGTAGAGCTGCATCAGGGAGGTTAGCATCTGATGGCCTTAAAAGCATGAAAACTTTCTTAGCCCATGAGTTTATCTGCAAGTTTGATTGCAGAGCAGGAAGATTTGTGATACATACTGTATCAAAGGTTAGCATCTGATGGCCTTAAAAGCATGAAAGCTTTCTTAGCCCATGAGTTTATCTGCAATATACGGTTTGATTGCAGAGCAGGAAGATTTGTGATACATACTGTATCAAATAACTGCTGATTTAAAAAAATAACATCATAATGTTACCATTTAAAAGGTGCCTGCTTGTGTGCAGTTGCATTTCCCAGTGGTGGCAGATCCTGAATGCAGGTGTCCTATGGCTTTCTGGAGTATTTTCTAATAAATAATTCAAGCACTGAATCAGCGGCATGTATCCATGCACGCCAGCTGTAAGAATATAAATAATACTACTGATTTACTGGTTTCTCTATTACTCAGTTAGAAAGTGACAGTGCCTGTCTTGACAAACGTGTTGAATTTATACCAAACCTTTCTAAAAAGGTACAAAGGTTTTTCAATAGTTCTGTCATTTCCAGGCTTTTGTAATGCAAGAGCACATCTACCAGACTGCATTTTAAAAAAGCAGAGAGTCTGTATATTGATTCAGGTGAAGGCAGTGGGTACTCGAACTATTTCTATGCAAGAGCACATCTACCAGACTGCACTTTAAAAAAAGCAGAGAGTCTGTATACTGATTCAGATGAAGGCAGTGGGTACTCGAACTATTTCTAACTCATTTTAGAAAATGATGCCGGAGTATTGCAGAGGCTGTACGTAGTACTTTGAGATGCTCCACAGCCTTTCGGTGACCAGCAGTGGATCCAGCAAGACAGCATGAGTTGATCAGCACCTTGCGTCTCCAGAACAAGTTGATGCATCTGCCCGAGGTCGTGGCGTTTCGTTCGCTGAAGGTGAAGCGGTGTTCTGCTTGAAGTCCCGTTGCGCTGGTTTTTCTTCCCCACCATCTCTCGGTCAGCATCTAAGGTATAGTCCCACCTGACATCCTCAAACTGGAACATCAACAGACTAGTTGGTGAATTGATCACCATCCTGGAGAAGGGAATGAAAAGCCGTTAAAAGCACAGATATCATTAACACAGCAGTTACTACCTAAGGGACCCATTTGCTTCTGTGCAATACAAAACCCAAGGGCGCTTAAAGAGGTCCGAGATAACTATCGCCTGTTTAAGGAGGCATTAGCAATTAGTCCCATCAATCAGATGCTGTACATTGTAACTCATAACTCATATGAGCTCCATGAGGCTCTTTTCATTCAGCTCTATGGCAAAATTAGTTTTAAAATAATTAGGATGGAAATTGCCAACAGTGGACTGAGCTAGATCAGTGCAATGCCAAAAGAAGCTGGAGATACCATATTGTTAGGAACATTTAAACCTAAATAGGAGGGTTGTACTCGGTCTGATTGGGATGGAGTTAGTTTTCTTCATAGCAGCCCATATGTTGCTGTGGTTAGAGTTGTGCCCAAAACAGCACTGATAACACACCAGTGTTTTAGCTATTGCTTACACGGAAGCTGGGAACTACCTTTAGTTTAGAGGTGCATGAACCTGGGAGGATTTTCCATTATTGGCTTTTATAAAGAAACAATACATCAGGGAACAGGCAAGGGCTCTGTCAGGCCTTGGCTTGATTCTCCAACCTGTTATGAAATTTGGGTTCTGAATTCAGCTTTACAGTTGGGTCTACATCTTAAGTTGTATAGAAATAGGAAATTGTACATTGCTGAATGGACTAAGAAAATCTCTTTTCAGCCATTGTTAACAAAATCAGATTATTAAAGCAGTCAATAAGCAGTAGAGCCCTTTAAAACTTGTTTGTGAGAAGGACAGTAAAAGGAAAAATACACAATTCCTTAAATTACAATGTAATCTACCTAATTTGGTTCAGAGACCAATGGCAGCTGTTGTCACCAACCTGTTTCCTGTAACACAGAAAGAAGATACAGGGTCCCCTCTGCTATTGGCCATCAACACTTTCAGGCAGCTTCCAGTCAAGTAGTTAAATATACGAATCTTTCCGTCAGCACAGCCGCTGATGACTCTGAGATAGAGGAACTCCAGAGACAGAACTTCCCTGAAAACAACACTTAAGTGTCAGTACATTCACCATGCTTTCACAAGGAGACACGATCAACTACCTCTTTTGTCTTGGAGGAGATGCAAAGGTCTGCCTCATCAACAGGCTAAACAGAGGAGCTGATCATTATTAGACCTTTTAAATATCTTCAAGTCCTTCATAATCACTCCATGCCCAAACCAACCAACCCAGTGCATCCTCATAGCACCCAGTATGGTTATGACCATCTGCTGCATTTTAAATTTCATTTTTATGTCTAGGAAAGTAAATGAAAACAATATGATGCTACAGTTTTCACAGTTCTAATATACAATTAAAGTATTAGAAAATGGCATAGCATACAGTTGGTAGGGTTCAGCATGTAACTCAGCCACCTCCAACACAGACAGTGTCTATTCTTGACCAGGTTGTGTCATACCCTGTTGCATACAGCTTGGGATCCTTGAAATATTGGACTACGCACTGTCAGTCTTAAGTCATCCCTGTTTGTGAACAAGTGGTTGCGTATTTGCATTTGTTATAGGTCTTAACTGACAAACGCTGGTTGTGGCCATGTAGTGCCTGACACTGTTTTTAAAATGAAGACTGTTGAAAGCAAGGATCTTTCAAATACTGGGACTGGTAAGGCATTTTCTGTTCCTACAAGGGAGACATTTTCTTTGCAGATTTAGTAGACTTAAATACAACTTGAAACACATCCAATTCCTACTTCGGGTGGCGGAAAGCTATTAGGCATCTCTTAAGGTTTCCCAACATGCTCCATCCCAGGACATATCCATCGGTGCTTCCTGTGACTAGGTGCCACTGGTCAAAGGACAAGCACTTAACTGGGCCTTGGTGCCCCTCTAATGTCTGCAAAGTAAAAGAAATAGGTGCAACACTGTCAGCAATCTGGATGCTGTATGCCAAGATATCTTGTGGCATTCACAATACCAGCCTCATGTACTATATTGTAGTTTTATTGGGTGTTATTATAACATACCAATACACCCTATGGATAACTGTGTTAGTTTTATAGTCACTTACAAGAAATATTCTGGGCTTGTTGCTGATGATGAGCTACTGGCATAGAATTAACATCCATTTTCCATCTTTATTACACATGCTAAATAGATGTTACTGCACCAAGACCTTTTTCATGTATTGAACGTTCACCCAGGTGAGAAAAAATTGGACTGCCCTGAATATAGTGGAAAGGGCAATTGCAAACTTATCCCAGCTCTGGCTGAGCTATCTTGCATCTGAGATGCATCTCAGTTTGCAACTCTCTTCCCCACAGGTAGAAAGAGCTTCACTCCTCTCAGATGTGGACTAATATTAATTCTGGACATCTGCTACGGTAATTAGCAAACTCTGGCCTCAACCTTTACATTGCAGAGCAGCTATCCAGCTGCTTCAGCTTTATAAACTGGTTCTGAGAGCAAGTTTCATATTTTGGGCTAACTCATGATACCTCCAACCCCAGGAGCTGTCAGTCAAGCCCTTCCACCCTCTTCCCAGGTTCTGAATGTTTCTACAGAAGCAGAGATGACTGTATCTACAGAGAACAAGTAGTGATGGGGGTTAAGCAAGGCAAATCAAACCCTGGGTTAAAATTGACAGTTGTTTGCAAATCAGGTTTTATATTATTTGTTCACGAATAATTCTGCAGTTTCTTTTATCAGTTTAGACTGCTTTTGTCTTTGTTTTTTGGGATTAGTTTCTTTTAGAAAGTCTTTGGCAAAACCAAAAAGCTATGATAAACTAGCATTGGAGATTTTTGACCATTTAGCACAAAATTATCCACCTAACAAACTTACTTTGATCAGAGTGCCCGTATCAGCACACCAGACTTTCACCAGCCCTCGGTCACACCCACTGACAACATGAGTGCCATCCATTTTAACTACCCAAACAACACTGTTGTGCTTCAGAGTCTTGAGACATTTCCCACTCTCCAGATTCCACACTGTTAGGGACAAAGGAGAGAAATATTAAAAATACATATGCCCCAATGATAAGTTTTGCTGAGTACAAAATGAGTTAAAAGAATTACAGTTGCACATTGTACCTATAGCTCTGCATGTAGCCAAGTGCTGACTTAAAAAGTATAATTGCATGGCAAAAATTTTAAATGCAAAGTCCAGAAAATAGCACATCTTTTTCATCCTTATTCTATAAGCTAATAATAAGGAAACCTCTGGCAAAGCTGAAAGTTGATACTACTTTCCCAAGAGTTGGTCCGGCTCTATAGCCACAAAGCCATTAAAACTGAATAAAAGCAGAAATAAGGAGAATTTATTCAATGACACAGAGACTTTGCGTGGGTGTGTGTCCACAGCTTAGGCTGTTCTGGAAGCAAATATATGAGGCACTAAAATTCACCCTCCAATTTACAGACTTACTTTCACACTCACACACAGACTTACTTTCACACTCACATGAGTTGTGATGAGTGTGACACACTCAAGTGCTCTGACCATTGCTTGCTACTATTTGCCTTTGCCTGGGAAGCTGCTGGTCTTGGCTCTTACCTTTCACCATCCCATCTCTGGCTCCTGACACAAACTGCTCTTCATGTAAATCCAAGCAGGTGATTGTCCCACGGTGACCATTAAAGATTTTCACACAAGCACCACTGTATATATTCCAGCATCTACAAAGGACCAAGGGAAAAGGGAATACAGTGATTAACTTAATTGATGGCTTATTCATGTTATTCATTATTTCCTACTTAACAGGCCCAGCTCTTCTCCCATACTCACTATGTTAAAATCAGGAGTCATTCCACTAAGGTGTCAGAGGATTTGGAATGATCAAGTCAGGCTTAGTATTAAATTTTTACCCATATACTTTGTTCTTCTGCCTCCAAACCGCCTGGAAACGTGTGGCTAGATTTCACCTTTGGCATGGTTACCTTCAATTAACCTTAAAATGTAGAGCTTTACAGATAAGGTTATTTCTTTACTGACCGGTGCCAAAATGATTTCTGTTGACTTTATCTAGAGGACTTAAGCCTGCACTTAAACAAAAGCCCTTGGAGTGGGAAGAGTAGAGAGGACAGAGCCTAAGTCGGTATAAACTCCGTTTTTGTTAAATGTTGCCATTGATGAAGTCGTGCAATTGCCATACTAGAGCCGGACAACCCGCTGCTTAGCTTTTTACCCCTCACCATGATACTTTTGAGATTCAGTGATAAATAAAATGTAAGAGCTGATCATCTCCACCCCTTGTCTCAGGGTGCAGCACCTGGAAAGCAGCAGCTGTACAGCACGTACCAGGGTGTTGAGCCTGCTTAGCACAACAGGCCTTCTAAAATGTCACGGAGAAACCCAGCCTCCCTGAACTCGATGCTGACCTGAGCAAGGCCAGAATCTCACTGCAAGTGCTTCATTACTCTAATGAAAATTATAGGAAGGAGAATTCCTAAAGGTAGGGGTGGAAGGACTAGTTTCATTTTTCCTAGATTTGCCAAGGGGCTGGCATCCCAGGGCACAGTCCCCGTGCTGCTCACCTGATGCTGAGATCAAAGCTTGCACTGAGAACAAACCCTTTCTTCTCATTGAGGAACAGTGCTTTGATGCTCCCAGCGTGGCCAGAGAGCAAAGGCGGCACTTCTTTCATTCCCGGCATACCAAGAAGCCTCACTTTTCGGTCTGCAGAGCCAATGGCTACCAAGTTTCCACCGCTGTAATGGATTATTCTGCTTCCGTCTGATCTGGATTAGAAACAGTGACTGAGGTGAGCTTTAGCCAGCTAACAAGGTACAACAGGTCTAAGACTGCAACAGGCATTTATCTGATGCTTAATGGTCCTCATTGAGCAACCTGATGGGCAATACGCTTAAGCGGGTGAATCCTTTGCGGGGCACACAACCAAGGTCCCTAGTTCCACATAACCATGTTTGCATCTGGAGGGTAAGCTTAAAGAGGAGAGAGGGCTCCTCCCGGCCCTATATCCCTTGTGTTACACTGCGGGTTGCTAACCCTTATGTCTTTAAAAATAGCTTATCTTGGTATCTTTATAAATAACTGGATTTGACACTGAAGACTTCTTAACACTGATGCTGAGAGACCCTTCTCTGGCCATACATTCCCACAGAAGGATTGCAAGGAGCGGGATAGGTTTTCAGAAGCCACTGTTTGGCCCTACAGCTGGGCAGTCTACTCACTTGTCTGTGAGGACACGAATATTGTAGGAGCCACAGAAGACATTTCTCTCTTCCAGCTGAATCGTGTCAGTTTGCAGACCGTGATAGGCCGCCTGCAGATTGTCTTCCTCCTCCTGATGGAAAGAAATAGGGAAATATAAGTCAAGGAGCGGGGAATGCAGCATTATTCCATGGTATTAAATGTATCAGCTTGGTCGTCACTATAGTGATGAGACCAACAGAGACAGAAAGTGCTGGTAAGGAACACCCAGACTGCAGGAACTTTGTGTTAGTGCAGAAACGAGGGTTGTTCCCATGCCAGGTTCTGTGGCAAAAATGGAAGACCTGACAGCTGCGCCTTTTATTCTTTGGGAAAAAGGCCGTGTTGTTGTGATGCTGCCCAGCCTTGCCAGAACCCCAGCCTCAAGGCTACGCATGCGACTGGGGGGACACATTAGCTCAAGGCAGGTCCAGCCTCAAGGCTATGCATGTGACTGGGGGGACACATTAGCTCAAGGCAGGAGTTCAGGGATGCAGGCTCCCTCCCATGCAAGAAGGGCCTGAGCAAGCATTGGTCCTGACAAATTGCTCATGACGGTGCAAGCCAGAAGCAGGAGTGGGAGAAGAGTAAAGCAACTCCGAATTCACTGTCCTGTCTTCCAAGACCACCATGTCCTCCTTCCTCCCCAAATGCTGAAGTGCAAATACAATGAAACATGGAAGGCAAACAACTTCCAACGTACCTTCGTTTTACTGCCCCAGTTGTGGCCTTTCACTTCGATGACATCACCCTCTTCATTTAACTGCGGAATTGTCACATCGACTGTTTTAGCATAGTTTGAAACTGCTCCTCTAGGGCATAACCCCTAGGAATAAACCAGTAGAGGCACCACAGTTACTGCAGAGCCCATGCGCACAAAGGATGCTGCTCATGTGCTGATGCTGAAGTTACATGCAAAGCTGAGCTGCACTTACTGGCTTCTTGTTATTGTTTAAGAGACCTGGCTTGCATTTACCACTTGTTGGTATAAGATTTAACTTCTTGTGAAAAAATAATTGTTTTTTGGTTTTTTTGAAACTCTAGTCTTAAGCTTTTAATAAGCTGCAAAATTTCAAAGTGCATCTCATCTTTGGCGAGCACTCAGTTGATTCAGAATCCAAACACACTGAGATGAGAGGCTCTCAAAACATCTTTATCAATATTTAAGATTCATTTTTGATGCGTGAAACCTTCCGTTAAGCCTTCTTTGAATGCTAGCACAGAACTGAGATTTCTATACTGTCTTCACAAATCAAAGCATGCAAAGACTCCCAACTATCTCTGGGGATTTACCTTTACACTTAACTTGGTGTGTGGCAGGTCTATACTAACCAGGACAAGCCTTTTCTAAAAGTTCTGCTTTACCAGCTCTTACTTCTCACGAAGAAACCTAGCATTTCCATCTTCCTATGCGGTGCAAATAAAGCTCATTTTTGAGCTGCCTCAGGGAGCCGTTGTAGCTCTGCCCAGTTTCCACTAGCTCCTGGAAGTCCAGTATTTGCATTTGTGACCAAACTCTGCTTTCTTGATTACAAGAATATTTTGATCCATCTTTAGAGTCACAGGCTCTCTAAAGGTCAGTAAAAGCTATTCTGTTGTGCTTACTTGTGACAGTAAAACATCTAACCTGGCTTAGCTCTGCAGATGGAGGAAAAAGGAACAGAGCAAAGTTGGGAGGTAGCATCTAATAAAAGCATCTCCATCTAATGGCTTGGGCAGAAAAACACCGTCTCTTTCTGCCGCATAATAATGGCAGAAACCCAGGCATCATACCTGCAAATACAGGATCTTCTCCTGTACTATGCTTTGACACACACGTTCCCTCTTGACTTCATTGGCCAGAAAAGCCCAGCATCTACTCACAGCAGCAGATGCATTGAGAGATTTTTGATCCAAAAGCCCTGAGAAATTAAAGGGATAGATTGGCTAACGCCATCCATTCGTTACCCTTAGGGAAAACCACCCTTGGGAAATCAGAGCAGCTTTACCCAGGATGTACATGGACAGGTGAGGTGGCAGGCAGCGAATGAAGTCCTTGGGTTGGTTGACATTAGAGAGTGACTGGAGAGATGCAGGAACCACGGTGACATCTTGATCAGCTAACGACATAACAGGTGAGTTGTCCCCTGCGTCAGGACCCTCCTGGATGAGGCACTCAGTGTTTTGGGGCCAGAAGCGCGTTGCTGGTGGTTGACCACCTAGAAGACAGGGGAATTTACAATCTTGTAAGTGCTTGAGCTTTTGTGGCTATTAACAGTACTGTCGTTAGTAATGCGCTGCAAGAGGGGGTTGATCTTAGTCTGTCTCTTCCGCTAATCCCTTTGGTGCTGTACCATTCAAAGGAAAATGCTGAAAACACTCAGGGTCTTGCAGGACAGTTCACACCAGTGGGGTTTGAGGGCAGAGAATGACAGCTCTTCCCGCTTCCCACTGCCCTGAAGGGTAGTAAGGGCTCTTCACAGCTGGAAGAATCAAGTGATCAGAGGGCCATGGGAGACCCTGGGTGAGCTTGGTGGGGACGCAGTGTGACAGTTTTCTCTTTACAGATATTTACCTCCTCCGCCTCTATCTACAGCAGTCACCAGTATGGGAAAGTGACTGTCCCAGACTCTAAGGGGGAAATACCAAAACAACCTCATGCCAAGGACATAGCACTACTTTACTGAAAAGAGTGGAAAACCTTCTCTTCCTTTAGCCATTAGATTTTCTTCAGTAAAAATATGACTTGGGTTATGACATTGCAGAAGGAGAGAGATGGGGACAAATTTCTCTGTTGTCCCAGAGATAACGGAAGGGTAAAGACAGCCTACGCCCTTCTCACATCAGTAGTTTTCGCATACATCTCTAGCATCTTTGCCAAACTTCAACCCCCCACAGTGTAAGGCTTTCCTTCCTTTCAGGTGCAACACCAGCCACAGTGTTAGGTTTTGAAATTGAGGTTGCGCTGGTGGAAGACCTTACACCTGGCAGAACAACATCTCAATCAGCAGAAGGGAAGACACTGTCTTTCGTCTCTTCGATAAGAGCATACTCGGCAAACTTGAGAAGTAACTCAGAACAAAGCCAAGCATCTGTTGAGTGGCATCACCTCCTCTGGCATGGCACTTTGAACTTTCCAGCTAACTATTGCTGTGGTCTGCCATGCTTTTTTCCAAAATGACCCAGAACAGAGCTGTTCCGAGGCAGTGCCAGTTGTTAGTGTCCTGGCATGAAACACCATAGATTTTTTTCTCCCTAGTATTAAATACTCAGGTAGTGGTACCCATCATACTAAGCTGGCCAGTTCTTGCAGATGAGGTTTTACTTCTAAGAGCTGCAGAAGAAGCACTAGCAGGCCATAGTGGAAATTGGATCTGGGCACTGGGCTGAGGACAGCTGTCTTCCTTGAAGCTGCTTTGGGATTCAGCAGATGATCCATCTACATCTTCCTCTGGAAGAATTAAGAAAAGAGTCAAACCTTACAGTAGGCATCTTAGAGCTGAATTAGGGGATTGCAGAAGTTAGAATAGTATAGTAAGTATCTAATAAATAAATTATGCTATATTATTTATTCTATCCCTTCTAGCTGTGCAGAATTAGTCCCTTCAGTGCTTTCTTTAGTATGATTTTAATCGCTTAAAACATTCAATTCATAGCCACCCCTCCCGAGATGTGTTGCCCAGGAGAATTAATGACAAAGTTGTTTTCATTACGTTGTTGTCAACTATACTCCATTATAAGCTATATTCCTCTTCGCTTTAACGATCACCTCTTCTACAGGGTTACTGCACACTGGTGCACACGTGCAGGCTGGCACTGAGGCAGAGCTGGCCCTGGGAGGTTGATGCTGGGTCAGGGTAAAGCTGCTGGGTCTGAGTCCCATCTGGCCCCGTCTCCTGCTGCCAGGAACACCCCATTCCCTCCATGACCTGTGCTCACCCCCAGCTTTGCCCACTCATTTCCTACAGCTGGAAGGATCAGAGACCTAAACGATACCAGATTTGCAGTATTAACCAGAAGGTTAATAGCTCAAGGCAAATAAAGCTACAATTAACAGTTATGTTAGGTAGGTGGTTTCTTTCAGCAGTTTTGTACTGCCTGCACGGGGAATTTTGCCACATGCAATAAAATACCTGCTAGAGAGGGGAACAGCCAGAGCAGCAGCATTGGGAGCTGCCGGACTGCTGCAGATGACAGAAAGGAACCTGGGTAACATTACCTCCATCTTAGCATCTCCCCGAACCCCAGGCTGGCCCAGAGCATGACCCGAGAAAGCTCAGAGGCAGATCTTGGTCTCTGGGACAGAGAGAGAGTGACTGCAGCACTCCACATTCCCCGAAGGACACGAGATACCCTCACAAACAGCTGATAATCCCAGCCCTACCACTCTGCGAACAAAAGCTCGTTCCCCAGACGAGGAAGAACAGCAGCAAGGACCGGGTGCTGTTTCTCTCCACCGCTGGCCCTGCGGGGAAGGACTCTGCCGAAAGCCATGCACCCAGGTCATGGGTGATGTCCTCCTGCCCAGCGCCCAGAGAGTTACTTTCAGTTGGTGTTAAACTCGGCCACCTTGCAAATCTCAAGCTGGGAGAAACCAAGAGGATTTCTGGAGCTCTGGGGAATCCGGCACAGCCCCAGCGAGGCAGTAGCTGCCTTTCCTACGCCGATAACCTCAAAAGGCACTAAAGGGAAAACCACCACGGCGTCACCGTCCCCAGGCATCAAACCCCGCAGGCCCGACTGCCCGAGGTGCGAGGGTTTTGGTCCAGTTTTCTGCCTGATAAACAGTAAATGAAGCATCACCTGAAGGTCCGTGCCGCGTCCCAGTATCTCC